AAGCGAAGCGAAGGTGGATGTCGCCAAGTGCCACGCCTGCCACGCAAAGCGAAAGTCGATGTCGCCAAGTGCCACGGCTGCCACGCAAAGTGCCGCGGCGTCACCGGCGACTAAGCGCGCCCAAGCGCGCTACCAGATCCAGCCCAGTGCCGCAAGTGTCACGCCTGCCCCGCAAAACGGAGGTAGATGTCACCAAGTGCCACACCTGCCAAGCGAAGCGAAGGTGGATGTCGCCAAGAGCCACGCCTGCCACGCAAAGTGCCGCGGCGTCACCGGCGACTAGCCGCGCCCAAGCGCGCCACCAGATCCAGCCTAGTGCCGCAAGTGCCACGCCTGCCCACGCAACACGAAGGTAGATGTCACCAAGTGCCACGCTGCTGCGCGAAGCGAAGGTGGATGTCGCCAAGTGCCACACCTGCCACGCCAAGTGCCGCGGCGTCACCCGCAACTAAGCGCGCCGAAGCGCGCCCAAGTGGGCCACCAGATCCAGCCCAGTGCCGCAAGTGTCATGCCTGCCACGCAAAACGGAGGTAGATGTCACCAAGTGCCACACGTGCCACGCGAAGCGAAGGTGGATGTCGCCAAGTGTCACGCCAAAGCTGTGCGTGAAAAATGGAAGATGGTATGTGACAAAGATGGGTGTGAAAGATGGTGTGGTGTAAGATGGTGTGTGACGAAGTTGCGTGTGAAAGATGGTGTGGTGAAAGATGGTGTGTGACAAAGTTGTGTGAGATGGTGTGGTGAAAGTTGGTGTGTGACAAAGTTGTGTGTGAAAGATGGTGCGGTGAAAGATGCAAACGGTCAACGTGTTGATAGCGCTTTAAATCTAATGCGTAAGAGATGTTTTGTTGAACAAAACTTTTAGCCACGCCCTAAAATCTATGCTCAAATATGTGCATGTGCAATGCAAAAACAGTTCGCCCAAAAACACACACTCCAAACGAAAACTACTCGCGCAACCTGCGTGTGTTCAGTTTGGTTAAGCCTTTGTAAATGCCAGATGCAAATGTACCCGAAAACCTTCTAAGCGAGTTTCCAACAACTACTTGTGAACCAAATCGTCGACATGGTTTGTTTTTGGTTTATTTTGCAGCTGGTTTGAATTCAATGTTCAAGTGGTGTGTTTCGGCAGCTTCACTGATGTCCACCTTTTTCATGTCACATATTTTTCAAATGTTTTTGGTTTCGTTTATGGTGCGTGTTTTTGCACCTGTAACCTGGAAGTATTGACATGCGTGGCGGCGGAAGCGTTGATTTAAGGTGTGTGACAAAGTTGTGTGTGAAAAATGGTGTGTGAAAGATGGTGTGTGACAAAGTGGTGTGTGAAAGATGGTGCGTCAAAGATGGTGTGTGACAAAGTGGTGTGTGAGAAATGGTGTGTGACAAAGTGGTGTGGTGAAAGATGGTGTGTGAAAGATGGTGTGTCAAAGATGGTGTGTGACAAAGTGGTGTGGTGAAAGATGGTGTGTGAAAGATGGTGTGTGACAAAGTGGTGTGTGAAAGATGATGTGTGACAAAGTGGTGTGTGAAAGATGGTGTGTGAAAGATGGTGTCTGAAAGATGGTGTGAGACAAAGTGGTGTGGTGAAAGATGGTGTGTGACAAAGTTGTGTGTGAAAGGAGGCGGAGGCGGAGGAGGAGGAGGAGGAGGCGGAGGACGCGGAGGCGAGATACAGAATTAAAACCAAGAACCCCACACAAAGATGTGGAGAACAAAGTTTCGTGCTCCGGCTGCCTCCCCAAAACAACCCCCATGCAACAACCATGCAGCCATTATAATGCGTTTTGCAGCATGACGTGGCTAACCCGCGTCTCTCTATGCACATGGCGACAAAACGTGACAACAACCATGCAGCCATGAAAATGACTGTTATGTGCTGTATTGTGATGTGATGTATTGTGATGTGATGTATTGTTATGTGATGTATTGTTACTACACTTCATCCGTAACTCGGAAAATTGCTTCCCAACTTCCTTTGACAATGAAGTTTCAGGCACATACGAAACATGGCACGCATTTTGTTTACCGCAGGAAAAGGTGAAACCAGAACAACAATGGTTGTGGCAATGTGTTTGGACTTGGATTGGATAGTCAAAATGAGAGCGGAACACTCACATCTTGAAGGAAGAACGCGAACATGTCTCGTCCATGTTCATTGGCAGCATGACATGCGTAAATCATGATGAGAACTGCAACAAGTTGCAATGGCACAGATGGAAAAATCACACGTGGATCGTCAGGCTTTGTGGTTCAAACTTGCAGATCCAGACTCAACACGTTGCTCTCCACGCTCTGCTCTCCACGCCCTGCTCTCCACGGCTCTACTCCTTTACTCCACACTCCACACGCGACGCTTCACACTCCATATTCTACACTCCCAAACTGCGCACTCCACAGTCCATGCACTTGGCACTGCACACTTTGCGCCCCACACTCAACATTCAACACTTCCCACCCGAGGTTCAACACTCTACACTCCCCACTCCACATTTTACAGTCCAGACTCCACACTACACTCCCCAATCCCCACTGCATTTAAAACTTGGCACTCTACACTCCATACTCCATATTCCACACTACGCATGTCACACTCCGTACTCCACACTCCTCATTTTTGCGTCCGCATTGTGCACTCCAAACTCCACACTTTACACTCCGCATATCATCTCCGCATTATTATGCACTCCGCACTCTTCACTTTACACTCTGCACGTGACACTCCAGTTTCCACACTCTGCACTCCCCAATCCCCATTGCACATGCTGCATTCCAACACGCTGCAATCCACACTCAACACTCTATACTCTACACTTCACATTTTACAGTCTACTATTGATGTTCTACACGTCACACTTCGCACTCCACTTCCCTCCACTGCACACAAACTATGAAAGGGTTGAAATAGCTCGTTCCCCAGCAAACGTTTTGCATGATGTGCATTTGGGTTTGCCCGTCGGATCAAATTTTACCTGTTCGTCAGATATATCGAATATTTCCTCACACAATTTTTTTGAAAGTGATGAAGAAAAATCTTGCAACAACATTTACACGATAGGAATGTGCTAAGTTGATATGGGTTGTTGGACTGGCTGTGTTTGCCTACTGTCAGATTCAGACACTTGCAGGGTAGGAACGTGCTCAATTGATATGGATTTTCGCAATCTTGGTTGTTTTTGTTTTTTGCGGATTCAGACATGTGTTTTGTTGATCCTTTTTGCACAACGTGTTTGATCCATTTTTGTAATGACTGCTAACAGTGATGCATGCTGCATGGTTGGTTTTTGCTGCAATCATCGTCTTCGTTCTGAAAGAAAAATCGTGTTCATGGTATGGTGTTTATGCAGCTGCTTTGGTTTTCTGAGGCACTTTGAACCTGCATTGTTCGTTTGCATCACAAAAAAATGCACGAATCCACGAATCAGACAGAGTTTGTTTGACGTCGGCCTTCAACGGAATGCTTTAACAGGAATCCAATTTGGTTGTGAAATTTCAGGGCCTAGTGATGATGGTCATTCCATCATTCCGCAGTCCTTGTCACAGGCCAAACCCAAGTGGTGCAATGAAAATTTGGAACCCTTTCCGGAAAGATGCTTCGAAATCTTGGCAACTGTGACATCATGTCTTGTTTTTCCCCGCAATCTGGAGGCATAAACTTGGAGTACTATGGGCAGTGCCTTGTTGTGCCCAGGGGAAACAAAACCGTTGAATTTTTGTTTTGGAATTAGAGCCTCGACCTGATCGTTTTGTTCTGTCTCATGTATCAAGTACTTCACACCATCTATGTTGGCTGTATTCATGGAGACTTGTCATGGCGCACAATAATTTTGAATATGTTTTTGTTCACTTTGAATTACACGAAGGTAAATTTGGAGTTGTCGTTGATTACATTCTTGCCGTTGCATTTATGCATGCGTTTTATATGTGGAATTTATGATGTGGCCTGATGTGGCACCGTTTTTTTTTTTTCTGATTTCGTCATTTGTTCTGGCAAGAGCAACCTAGTATCCCATTGTATCAAACCATGTTTAGTATTTGGGCAGAAAACAACGACAAAATGGTTGTTGGTATGTCCACATGCAATATTTGCAAATTCGATTTGATTCAGGTACCGTCATTTCACATTCCAACCGTTTTTCTGAATATCATGACTACTGTGTGTTTTTTGAGTTTTAAATGCGTGCTTTTTGTCTTTCATGCACTCGTGTCTTGAAAATTTGAAACAGGCAATTAATCAAGCACAATCTTCAGACATGGTCTGGGGCCTGGGGTTCCAAACGGTCGTTGGGTCGGTATTCGTGAATATGCTAATCGCAGGTGAATGCACCCTAGCGATCAGGCGCTACAAACACCAAACTTGTGTGCAGAGTGCAGCTAAAGACCAGTGTGGATATCTTGATTTTTGCCTTATGTTTGTTCACCTGCCTGGAAAGATGTTGGCTATTGTGCACATTTTGCTTTGTTGTAGTGGTATATCAGAAGAAAACACATCATTAATCATTAAACGCAAATTTGTTTGCGGCACATTTGCAACATAGGACAAGACGAAAACGTTCTTGTTCAAAAAACAGAATCCGTTTTCGAACTTGATAGGTTTGACACGAATTTGTTTCAAATGTAAAACCAATAACAATAACTCCTTCTGGGTGTTTTTTGGGCAGCTGTGAAGATGTTTGTTCCAAGCACTACTATTCCATTCAACACAGACAATTCAGACGTGCTTTGCAGAAATTTGCTGTTTTCGTCCTGCAGATTTGAGCATTTAGTTGACAGAATTTTCATGGCATGCATACATCATAGACAATCATAGATCATGTTTCGATTTCCGTTTCCTATTAATATTTTCTGAAGACGCTGGACCACAGATACATAAAGCAGTGCCAACCAACCAGGTCGGATGCATGATGGTCAACCATTTGGTCAAACATACAGGACATTTTGATATGGCAGAACTTGATTCATTTGCAAATCCGTTGCATTCAATTTGATGGTGAGTGGAATAGGGCCATGCCAACGCAGCATGTAAGTCTCCCAGAGCTCTCTGCCAAGGGAAACTTATGCTGGGAAAAGGTGCTGCGGACCTATTGCGAGTTTGGAGTGCAGCAAGAGTATGAAAACCTCAGCGAAGAAGGCAAGAAGACTATGCTGACAGCGCTGGCCAATTCAGCGCAAATGTTTGCACAAATTAAAGTCAACTCAAGAAAGGCAACACGTGGAAAGAAATCCCTGAAATGCTCTGGTGAAGACCCTTTGGTTGAAGCCTTGCTTGAAACCGTTCGTGATAGGACTGTAGTCAGTGCAGAAGATGAGGTGTTCGATGATGTTCGGTTTCAGTTCTTGGGATCTTGGGGTGTGCCGACAAGCTCCGAAATGCTCATTATCGAGCATCAGGTTTCAGAGTTTCACCGCCATGAGCTTCTAGCCAAGAAGGGCAAAGACAAGTCCAAGTCAACTGTGGAGATGCGTACCACAAATCATTCTGTGCAGAAGTCCAGCGAAAATAGTTCATGGGATGTCTTGAAACCCATGTCAATTTCCCAGCTCAAACTCTTTCAGACGATGAAAGGCATGCGTTTAGAATGCAAAGTGGTCGGGGAGCCTTGTCACCAAGTTGGAATCACCACAATTCTGCAAGACGCCTATGGAAGTGCCGTTCAATGTGGCATTTACAATCTCAGAGGGGTGGTTGATCAGCAATCAGCTGAAAGAATGCTACCAAATGGATGCACAGTGATCATCGCAGAACCTTTTCTGAAGATCATGATGGACGGAAAGCGCGGAATACGAGTGGACAACCCCGCTGAGATCCACATATTTTTGCCTGGTTGCAGAAGTCTTCCCCCTGCTGGAAGCATAGCAGCAGGCAAGTATCAGGCACCGCAAACAAAGGCTGAAAACCGGGCAGAGGTGCAAGGTCAAAACAATCTGGCAGAGCTTTTGGACGATTGCAAGGTTGGCCAGCGTGTCAGAGTCAAAGGATTGACATCAAAGAAAGGTCTGAGCTTGAACGGACGGCTGGGCGTCATTGCCGCTCAAGAGAAGGAAGACTTGGAGCGTGTGACGGTGGAAATCGATAGCGACACTGGCAAGCCAGAAGTTTTCAAGATACAGACGGGCAATTTGGAGGTCCTCGAAGACTCTTCCTTGGATGAGTTTTTGGAGGTCAAGACCAAAGCCAACGAGGCATTTTCCAGAGGTGAGCTGGATGTTGCTGTTGACGGCTACAACACAGTTGTAAGGCAATTGTCTTCTCACAAGACTCCGAAAGGACTTGAAGAGCTGACCAAGTGTCTTTGCAACCGGGCTCTCTGTTTCTTGAAGCAACGGAAGTGGGATCCAGCAAAGTGCGATGCTGAGTTGGCCGTCGAACTTGAACCCGCCAATGCAAAGTCGCACTTTCGACTAGCGTGTGCTATTTTTCGGGAGGGAGAAGTTGCAAGCCAAGAGGACATAAATCAGGCTGCCTTCCATACTTGTGTTGCCCTTGCGCTACTTCCAAAAGCAGAACCTTCCATGATTGATTTGCTCGGAGCTGTTGCTGCAAAGTCTGCGAAGCCTGTGCCACAACAGCATGAGATCGCGTCAGTCAGCACATCTTCGCGCCTCAGTTCTACTTTGGCAATGCAGCAGATCAAGTTCATAGTGACTTGGGCTGGAAAGTCAAGCTATTTGAAGAGATTTGTTGCATGCCACACGCTAGTCCCAATGTAAAGAAATGTGAAATAGGACTAGGATGTTATTCTTCATGGAAATTGAGGCAGGGAGAACTGTAGAGGGTTGCTTGGACAATTGCGCTGGCAGACTTGCACAGAAAGATTCACATCCAGATTCTCTTCAACACAAGATGCGCTTAGTCTACTACTATTCAGCTGACACTAGCAGGCGCGCTTAGACTCATAAGTGTCAGAGAAGTGCAGCCTTGGCCTTACAGAAAAATACATTTTTTTCCGGTCAAGTTGGTTTGCGGACGGAACTGGATTCCATTCAATTCTCGAATTTCAAGGAGTTCTGTAAATGGCCCCTGTAGATTGAGAGGCCGGCTTGCTCCAAAAGGAGCCTTTTCCAGAAACACTACGGACGGGGATTTTCAACCCGGGCTTGCGTTGCGTGTGGCCTTGGGATGAATTTTCCTTTCCCACTTGTCTTCCTTGCTGTGTTTGCTCTTTGTTTCCCTACCTCCTCCTCCCTTGGGGCCAAGGCTGCTATACAGGTTTTCGATGGTTTTCGTCAGTGAGAATGTTTTTCCCTAAACAGTGTGGTGACGCCTTCTGTCCCTGCGAAAATAGAAAATGTTCGGTGGATTGGTGGCCCTTGCAGCACAACATTTCCTCGCTCTTTCGTTGAAAGAAGCTTTGCACTATACGTTTCTAGAGGCTGTCTCGCCACGCTGGCAATTCCATTTTTGGAAGCTATGTACGTATCGTGTCGCAGGCGCAGTATTTTGTGCAGCTTGCGAATTGTTGGCAGCTGCGGGTGAGGTGCCGTTGGAGGTCTTCTTGCGTGGCAAGTGCAATATTTGGTAAACCTGCATTATGTTTTGAACCTGCAAAACGTGCAGCGCGTCGTGATCAGTTTGCATGGCAGCATGCCATGTGCAAGACTTCAGATGTGCAGTGTTCGTGGCCGGCTCAGTACTTTGGAGACCTCATTGACAAACTGCATGTGCAATATTTGATGAATTTGCAACATTCGCTCGCAGAAGCCTGTTTCACATTTTGTGCACGTCAGATTGCTCTCGTTGCAGCGCAGCACTCATATTGAGATCTCTCGCATAGACATCTCCGAACTTTCTTCGCGTGTTGGATCGTTCTTGTTGTGCCACGGTGGTCCTGGTATGAAGATCTGGTACTGGTATTAGAGGAGTGAGGAAATCCTTTGTGGAGATCCTGGTGAAGTTCTCTAAGAAGCTCTTGTATGAAGATGTTGAAACTATCAAACGAGACGTGCTTGTATACATGCAAAAACAAAGCATTGCATATTGTTGCAGAGTGTCATTTTGCTTGAAAGACGATTGCACACACACACACTAGATGACACAAAACATATTTGCGCAGATTAAACTTCCATTGTTTTTCCTCAAGGGCGTAAGCTAATGGGGTCTTCAGCCCAGAATAGCTCCGGTGTGCACTGGTGCAGGCGCCGGGTCAGGTTCAACCAGGTTCCGGAGAAGGTTCCGAAGGTTCCGGAACAGGTGTGGGAGGCTTTGATGCAGAGCCAGGTCAGGTTCAACAGGGTTCCGGAGAAGGTTCCAGAGAAGGTTCCGCAGAAGGTCTGGGAGGCTTTGGTGCAGAGGCAGTTCAGGTTCAACAGGGTTCCGGAGAAGGTTCCGGAGAAGGTTTCAGGAAGCCTGGTGGAAAGCCAAGTCAGGTTCAATAGGGTTCGGGAGAAGGTTCCAGGGAGGCTTTAATACAGAACCGACCTTTGGTACGTTGCCAGGTCAGATTCAACAGGGTTCCGGAGAAGGTTCCGGTGAAGGTCTGGGAGGCTTTTGTGCAGAGCCAGGTCAGGTTCAACAGGGTTCTGGAGAAGGTTCCAGAGAAAATTCCGGGAGGCTTTGGTGCAGAGCCAGGTCAAGTTCAACAGGGTTCCGGAGAAGGTTCCAGAGAAAATTCCGGGAGGCTTTGGTGCAGAGCCAGGTCAAGTTGAACAGGGTTCCGGAGAAGGTTCCGGAGAAGGTCTGGGAGGCTTCGGTGCAGCCGTTCAGGTTCAACAATGTTCCGAAGAAGGTTCCTGGAGAAGGTCTGGGAGGCTTTGGTGCAGAGCCAGGTCAGGTTCAACAGGGTTCTGGAGAAGGTTCCAGGAAGCGTGGGTGTAAAGCCAAGTCAGGTTTGGTTCGGAGACGGCCTCGCAGCCTTTGGTGCAGAGCCACGGTTTCGGAGAAGGTTCCGGAGGTCTAGGAGGCTTTGGTGCAGGGCCCGGTCAGGTTCAACAGGGTTCCGGAGAAGGTTCCGGAGAAGGTTTGGTGCAGAGCCAGGTTAGGTTCAACAGGGTTGCGGAGAAGGTTCTGGAGAAGGTTCCGGGAGGCTGGTGCAGCGCCAGGTCAGGTTCAACAGGGTTCCGGAGAAGGTAAGGTCTGGGAGGCTTTCGTGCAGAGCCAGGTCAGGTTCAACAGGGTTCCGGAGAAGGTTCCGGAGAAGGTTCCAGGAAGCCTTGGTGCAAAGCCAAGTCAGGTTCAACGGTGTCAGGAGAAGGTTGCAGAGCAGGTCTTTGGTGCAGGGCCAGGTCAGGACAAGGTTTCCAGCGCTCGGCTTCGCAGTTCGCTTCAGAAAGATTTGTAAAAATAAAACGTTGCGGCTGTTGGGGATACCACCGAAGCTTATTTTTTGGTTTTTGGTCCCCCAGTCTTTTGCAGGCGTACACTTACAGGGTCATACAGTGATACAGGCAACGGAAATCAAAATTGTTCTTTGTGCCCTTTAAGTCGGGGCCACTCTAGACAGCAGACTTCCTACCACAATTTTCCAATGAGAGAAACATTGACATATAATGACATATAATGACATATAAAGATACATATATATATATAGGATTATATAGGCCGCAAAGCGGTCTTGCTGCAGTGTGCTTTGCCGAGGTACTGCAGCCTGGTGACTACCAATGCCCTGCACTGGTGCCTCACAGGGTGACCCACGACTTGACAATTGTGGGCCTGGGACATGTCACGTTTTTGAAGAGCCACAGACATGTTCTGTCAGTTTGTGGTGCCCGGCTTCACTTGAGCAACGTTAGAGTGACTGATGGAGGCAAGTATGACTTGGGATATGCCGCTTTTGGCGTGAAAGGAAGCACGGGGTGGCTGACGCTCTCCAGATGCATTGTGGAAGACACCTGTGAAGTTGGGATCATCGCAGCAGCTGAAGGCCGCTGCACCATTGAAGACTGCCAGTTTCGCCGGAGCGGTCGACACGCCGTGGAGGTGAGAGGGATGGGGCAAGTGGAGATCCGACGGTCACAGTTCAGCCAGGTATGGCAAGGCGTGTGTGCATACGCAGGAGCCCGCAGTGTTGTTATGGAAGATGTATTGATTGAACACTCCACCAATGAAGGTGTCATGGCTTCAGGAGACTTTGAAACTCCGGAAAGCAAGAAACTTGGGAAAGATACAGGTTGCGAAGGTCCTGGGATGCCAGGCTGGCGCGGCAGACTGGAAGCAACTAAAATGGGCCAAGAGACATCTATGTTGGCAAGGGCTCGAGCAGAGGATTTGGATTGGAATGGCAGGCTTGTTTTGTCGATGTCAAACTGCAGCATCAAGCACTCTCGAGGATTGGCTTGCAGCATTGACGATGGCTGCGCGGCAGTGTTAAACCGGTGCACTTTTGAGGGGACCATGAAGGGAACCTCAAACCCGTGGCCTGGAATCGGCGTGCTGGTCAAGGGCGGGTCGGATGCCACAATCAGCTGTTGCCGGTTCCTCAAAAATGTTTTTGGCGTACGGGTCGGGTTTAACTACAGCGGGAGTGTTCTGGTGGAAGGCTCGGTTTTTGCCAGAAACTTATTGGCAGATGTGATGGACGAAACAAGTACAAAAGCCATGAAGATGCGCGAAGTATTGCAGAAACATGGCCCAAAAGACCTGCAGGACAAAATTTCTGCAAACCGCCAGCAGCATGAAAAAGCGGGTGCTTGGAGTTCACATCAGGCAGTGCGACAGTCAGGGAACAAGTTCCTGTCCAACTCCGAGCGAGTTCCTGAAGTCCATGAGTTGCAGCCTGGCATCGAAGGCAAACAGCCGTTACCGCAAAAGTTGGCCTGGGAAGCTGCTGCACGAGGAAACTACGATTTGACCACTGCTTGTCCCTGCGGTTTTTCTTGTACAGAGCTTGGGAACAGTGCAGAGTGCAATCAGCTTGGCTTGGGAAATCATATCGATTTTCCCCCTTTTATGTGCTTGCCCTGCAGTGAAAGCTTGAGTGCAAAGCAGGATGATCCAAATGCGCAGTTCTACTTTCGGACCGCTGACAGAGTCCCTTCACGTCATTGGTGTTTGGTGGGGCAAGTCATCTCGGTTGATCTTCCACGCACCGCAGATGCCCATTCGTTCATGGTCTCCTCTGGTGTGGATGCGGCAAAAAGCATCAAACTTCGAACAAAATTTGCAGATCAGTCAGCTGAGGTCTGCGATGTGGAAGTCTTGTTGCTATCAGACGAGCCTTTGGTCCCTGGAAGCTCCAAGATTGAAGCAGGCTCTACCCTGGCAATTCTATATGCAGAGGCGAATGACGTTGACATCACCAGTGGAACTGGCCAGGTGCTTGTGAAGAAGAACTCTTTGGTCTATTCCTTTAGTGCCTCACTTGAAGTTCTCATCGCTCAGGGATTCAACTGCTCCACGGGAGAGGCCAATTGTGGTGGCTGCGGTGACTCGGTTGATCTTGGTTGCAAAGATTTGGGTTTTTGATTGAGCTTGGTCGTCAGGGCCGCTCATTTTACTCTCTGCGTGGATTTGCTGTAGTCGTTTAAAACCAGGATTGCTTGACCATTTTGTCATCTAAACATTCTCCATTGTTAGCAGCTTTCCACCGGAGATCTATTATGTTCACGCAACATGATCTTTTGCGTGGCAAAACCAGCCCTCCAAACCCCGCAGTCTCGTGGACAGTTTGTTTGTTTTTTTGGTAGATGGTGGCCAATAGACATATTCTACTTGGTTAGTTTCATGGCAAGATTTTGCAGTATGTTATAGTTATATTGGTATCATATTACAAAACACTCTGAGTATCAAGTGACGCTTTGAACAGCATCCCGAAAAACACGGAAAGACCCAGCTGCCCCTAATGTCCAAGCTCCTCACTAGCTATTTTTGTGGCATTGTTGCTTGTTCCCATCCTTTGAGTCGCAACATTGTAGCAAATTGAGGTCAAGAGGTATTGCCTTCTTCACGAAACTGCAGTGGTTGTGGCATTCTGCGATACTGCAGTGAGAAGTGCCAAAAATCCGACCGAAGTCACGAGCAGCTGTGTCCTCAAATGGCCATGCTCCAACGCCTTGTGTCCGTGGATTTCAGAAGCTTCAGCTCTCACTTCAGCTTTGCTTCCTGGGCGGACGAGCTCCACGTCAAGCCCAAAGAAACGGCACCACAAATTCTGGAGGTCCCACCAGAAGAGGTCTCGCTGGAGGTTCCGACTCCTGCTCCAAGCGAAAGAGTTCCTGCAGCAGAAGACTTGTGTAATCTGCTGGATTCGGTGGTCGATGGCGAGCTGGCTGAAGCCATCCAAAGAGTTGAAGAAGCACTGCAGGAGAGCCGTTTGAATGAATTATGTACATATGGTACATATGTTCCTTCTTTGATGCTGTTGCTACAAATGCATACTATAATCTCAAATACAAAGATAATTCTCACCATGGCACACTGGGCGCAGGAGAAAGATGCAGACGGCTCTTTGATTATCACCAAGAACAGTGGCCGCAACAAGCTGCAGAACAAACTGAAGCGAGCTAAAGGGCGTCTTGCCAAAATGGAGAGCAAGGAGCCAGTTTTGGCGCCAGTCGAAGATGTTGGGATCGTCGAGTCGAAAATCGAGGAAGCGATCCCAGAGTATGAAGAGCATCCAACCGGAAGTCTGGATGCTTCGAAAAGCATCGGTGTAGGTTGCATCGACCACCATGGATATCATGGAGTTGACTGGTTGCCTTCATGGGCCGACTTGTCATATCGTGGCTGGCACAAGTGCCGGAAGTTCAGTCATCTTTTCTTGTCCTATCCGAAGAGTATCCAGAGCCCTTCGGAGCACTGGTGCACCAACATCAATCCTACCGCCTTTTGTTCCTTGTCCAAGTTTATACCCAGGAGAACATTGTATAACTCTCAATATCACAGAACATGCTTGAATTCCGCCTGTTTTGCCTGTTTGGAAGAACCTAGGATTTAGGGCTGTGATGGTGAGTCTGTTGCAGGGCGTCATTTCGCAAAGTCCGGATGTCTGTTAAGCAGCGTGCGACCAAGGTTTAGTCATGCAACTCTATCAGATGTTTACTGTATGCATGGGGTGCATCTTTGTTACCTGATCAAAAAAAAGGTTTCCAGACTAAATTTATGCCTAAGAAACTAGATCCCAACTTGGCATACATCCTTGTAAATTCATCCCCTAGCATGTCCACATTGTCATTGGTTGTAGCAGATGCAACCACCACTGCCAGACTCACGGCTTCGGCTTGGTCCCAGGCTCTGACTTCATGGAGGTGATTTCCCAGCCGTACAAGCCTCGTGTTCTGAGTTGTTGGGGGCACTCCGAAACCCGCCCTGGCAACCGCATTCCAAACATGGCAGATGGTACAAGGCGCGGTGAAGGGAAGGACCAAAACAAAGTTTTGAGGTTTCGATTTTCTCAGAAAATCTAGGAACAAAAAATCGCATTTTCCGCGTGCCTGGAGGCTCTGGAAGATTCGTCCGAGTGAGATCACCTTTAGTCAAGACTCCATCGGCAAGAAGTTCACAGATGGCAACTCATTGGATGACACATTGGAGAAACTTCTTTCTGGAGACTGCAAAGTTGAGGAAATTGAGAAAATCAAAATCACCTGGCATGCTCATCCTGAGAAGTCTCCGGGTATAGCACGGTGGTGGACCTACACCGGGAACAGGAGACTTTCTCTTTACCAGACTTTGGAAGAAAAGGGCCACTTGCAATACATAGTCGCAGAATGGGTCAATGCGCCAGTGCCGGAATGGCGAATGACTACCGAAAGGCCGGGTGATCGACCTTTCGTGCGTAGGTGACATTTTCAACTGAGCCAACTGATTCTTTGGAAGGACCTGGCAAGCGATGCCGGGAACTGCAGTTGACTTTTCTTGGCAGATTGCCACTTGAGGCGAGTGGATAGATTGGATGGAAAAAAAGTGAAGATTTGTGACATCCAAAGCAATTCGCACCGATTTTCCGAAACTGCTGAAGAAGATCCATAAAGGCTTCTTGAACCAACACTTACAACAGTAGGAATGTGCTCAGTTGATAGGGACTGTCGCAATCTTGGCCGTTTTTGCCTTTTGCGAGATTCAAACATGCTGTGTTTTTCTCATCTCCTCACAACGTGTTTGATCCATTTTGTATTCTTGGTAGCAGCTGCTAACATTGATGCATGGTTGGTATCTGCCGCGATCATTGTGTTTGCTCCGGAAGTATCTTGGTCCATGGTATTGTGTTTGTGCAGATGCCTTAGCTTTCTGAATGCACTTTGATTTTGTTTTATTGGTATCCGAAGGATTTGCAGGAATCGATGAAACAGCGCTGGTTTGACATCGGCCTTGGTCCAAGTTGGTTGTGAGATTTGAGGACCTGGTGATGACGGTCATTCCGCAGCCCTTGGCGCAGGCCAAACTCAAATGGTGCAATCAACATCTGGAACCCGCTCCAGAATTATCGTTCTCAGTTTTGGCAAGTGTGATTCATGTCTTGTTTTTTTTCATCAATCCGAAGGCTGGCATAAACTTGGAGTACGACGGGCGTTGCCTTGTTGTGCCCAGGGCAAACAAAATCTTTGGAACTGTCGTTGTTCACAACATGGATTGATTCCACCTTTTTTTTTTGTTGTGGGGCCTTGACCTGAGCTTGACGATGCCATAAATGCTTTCGGGACTGTTTCCCCCAAGTGTTCAGGTACGAGATCAAGATCCCAGCGCATGCCCAATCCGAAATCGCGGTGGAGAGGTAGGAATTGCTGCTCTCGGATGTGCTTTTGCAAAGCCGTGGCTCCGTGGCTTGGGATTTTGTGGCAGGCTTTGGCATCCTTCCTGTCCAGCAATCCGGACATTAAGGTGCATCACAGTTGAATCACAGTTGAATCACAGTTGAATCACAGTTGAATCACAGTGTATTTGCACCACTTTTCATCTGGTCAAAGAGTGAGAGATGGCACATGATGGCACTTTTCGCAGGTTTTGGATATCCGGGAGTCCAACATCAGTGACAACGGTGCCGCATATTTTGCATGGTGCTTGTTTTGAATGTTACAAGGTCAATGTATGAAATTTGCCACCGATCGGCAGATTTGATTGGTGCTTGGATGACTTCCGGAAAGGCTTAGCGCAGATCTGTTTGACTCTACGCCAGAGCAATCAGTTGGAGGTGGGGAATTCAGGGGAAGTTTAGATTTTGACGTTACATGCCGGTCACAAACCTGGACATGTTCAGATCTTTCGGTGGTTGAACTGTTAACCTGAGATTCAGCTCGGCTCTGTTTGGCTGGGGTTCACAGTTTCGCATCCTGCAGCTACCAGGAGCTTCACGCCAATCCAGTGGGCCACACCGGCCTTGAGTTCCTGTTGGGTCGAGACCTCAAAATCCTCAAAGGCCTTGCGAGACTCTGCAAACCGTGTGACCAAGGCGTAGTTCGGAGGTGCAGCCGACTTCGCACCTTGACAGTTGAGGCTCATTCTCCGGTGCAGCATTGTGAAGTTCCTCCTGAGTTTCACAACTCGATGGTTTTTCAAAGCAGGTCTGCGACGTACCCACACTGTTTGTGGGTCGTCAGAACTTGTCAGCAGCGGACTACGACACTTCCAACTATGTGGCTTGAACCTGAGCATCCTGAGCTGTGCAAAACTTTCCTTCCTGCGAAGCTGTGTAGCACTGCATGTAAACAGCATTGCTCGTCATTGCCCTGTGCGGTTTTGACAGTTTTGCATCAACCTTAGGCACCTAAGCCTGAGGGAGAAGAGGAACAGGAGGAACTGGAGGACGTTCTATGAGAAGTTTCTGGGATATCAGGGTGGGTAGCGCGAGTGACAGACTGTAACACTCTAACATGTCATGACTCTTGACATGACTCCGGACAAGTGAGAACGTGCATCAAGATGTGATACAATGATATATAATGTGACATATGCATATACAGATAATTACAGATATACATATTATGCGGCGTAGGCGCCATTCTTGAATCCTTGCAAGGAGGAAGAGCTTCAAGCCAGAGCTGCCAAGGCGGCATCCGCCTAGTCCGTTGAAGCGAGTTCTAAACGCGTTATGTCGAGTTCTCAAGCTGCTGTAGGCTGAGAGGCTGCGGAAAGTCTTCACCGAGAACAACTACGATTCTGGGGACAGCCTTGCTTCAGCAACTCTCCTCACTTGTGACCAGAGGGTAATCAAAAGTTGAAGATCCGAAGATTCGTTTTTCTTTTCCTCAAGCTTTCAGCATTGCAGCCTTTGTCATTCTATCTTCCCATCAGCAGCTCAGCTTGCCAGGACGAGATGGCTCCACCAGAAGAAGTGAAAGCTGTGAGCAGTGTGTGACCCTTGTGACCCTTGTGGTCCCTAAAAATGTGAAAAGCATCGTGGAGTTGGTCCATCATTGCACGGCTGAGTTGGTCATGTCTTGCCAAGGCGCTGACGAAGCTCCTGGCGGAGCTGGTGCGCGTCGTGAGGAGCGCCTGGAGATGCCCGGAAAGTCGAAGAATTCTTTTTTTTTTTCAGGTGGTTTTTCAGATTTCCTATGGGATGATTGAAATTTCCCATGGGATTCTGAGATGGTTTCGGGAATCGACAAAAAATGGATCGCGCAGTCATGACTTGAATGGTGAGTGAATTTGGACTGAGACGTGTGGGAAGCTGAGAACTTTTGAGAACCTTTGGGAACTTTTGAGAACTTTGCCTATGCATCATCCACATTTTGGCGAATTGCTGACAGGAACAATTGGTAATGCTAAGCGAGAACAGTGGTCCTGAGATTCTCCATCGAGCGAATGATGGTGAGTGATGGTGATTCTCACCGCTTTCAACGAGAGGTTTTCAACAAGACGTAATCCATGTTGCATTTGTTTCGAAATTTTGCAGGGTTTCTCTTGCTCCAATGATTTGTTAATTTTGGGCTTCATTTGTTATGCTTTTAGGTCCCTTTTTTGGGCTTCTCACTGTCTCTCGCTATCTCTCACCCTCATGTGACATCAGTTTGGGAAGCCTTTTACAGGAGTCAAGTGAACCTCACCACGGTGGAATGCCGAGGGGATTGGAGCTCAGCCATGTTGAGCCATGAGTTACTACAGAGAAACCATGAGAAATCCGACGTTTTAGAATTCATCAGGAAGATATGACAGATATGATGAATTCATTCAAAAATATGACAACTTGATATGACAGATATGAAGATATGACAACTTTGGAAGATGTGGTCCGATGTGGTCCAAACTGCGACTTTTCAACATGGGCTGAGGATGCAGTGCCAAGCCACGTGAAGCTGGAGCCGTGGGATGAAACGCTTTCGGATTTCAAATCGCTGCTGCATTCGGTGCTATTCTCATTACTGTGCTGTCACTACTGTAATTGCTACTCGTGGTTTGCTACTTGTACGGCTACTCGTATTGCTCGTGGTGATGCTTCCCTTCTCCTTTTTCCCTCTTTAAATTGTTCAGTGCAGGACATTTCGAGGGCAGCAGAAGAGCATCAGGCCATTGAAAATTCCAAGCTGAGGAAATTCAGCTCTTCCGCTTGATTTCACTCGAAATTGCAGGCCTGCAGGCATGGACTGGCTGAGCCAGAGGCCTGATACAAGTTCAAGAAAAACTTGAAACAAGATGTCAACATGGATTGAAAATGCTTGAAACAGTTTTTGTTGTTTTCGTTTGCTTTCACTACCTGCTGATTACCTGTGATTCTTCACACACCTTTGGGCCAGGAGAGAGGAGCTCACACAGGGATGGATGTGCTGCAGGAGCCACTTGATATCCCCAGACCTTGGCTCCATCATGGCATTGAAAATGGCATTGAATATATTGAAATCACAGATAATTACAGAAGCCAATGAAGCCAATGAAGCCAATCCAAAAAATCCAATCCAAGAATACTCCATGAATCTCCATTCAAATCACGAGACTGAGACTAGAGGAGCAGATGGCCGAGATTCAGAGCGTGCTTGAGGGCAAGGATCGACCTGTCAAGCCATTCAGATAATGCATGAGATGTAGCGTCAATGTAGAGAAATACATGGATTCTATGGCCAGGAAACAAACTTACTCTATGCATCTCTATGCTATGCATGGGAAAGTTCAGACCTTGAAGTGTTCTACGAATGTGTGGACCAATGTATGGCTCAGAAGGCTTGTCCGAGAATCCAAACTTACCACCAACTTTTCAAGGCGACTGGGACAAGTTTGATGGACAAAGGACCAGGCAAAAGAAGCCATCAGATGAATCATTATTTGATACTATTTGATACTATTTGGGTATGCTGCAGTGAGCTTCCATGAGTCAATAGATGATGAGTGCCAAGAGACATCAAAAGACCCTAAGAGATCCCACCAAGTCCACTTCTGGTTGCGCCCAAAAAGGTTCTAAAGCCGCTTGAAACTCTTCAGAAACCATTGATTTGCAACAGATTTGGATAAATTTCACAGTTTTCACCACAGTTTTCTCAGTTTTCTCAGTTTTCACAGTTTTCACAGTTTCGCTTGTGGCCACTTGTGGCCATGCTTGAGGGCCATGCTTGAGGGCCATGCTTGAGGGCCATGGCGCTTCCCGCCTGCGGCTTTGCCGTCTATGCTGACAAAGGTGGCCAACTGCCATTGGCGATTGAGCGCCGTGCCAAAGGCAAACGTGTGACCATCATCAATGGCGTGAAAGGCAACGCACGTGCCTTGTGCCAGTCTCTCACAAGTCTCCTTGGAGTTGGTGGCACAGTTCATAGCAAAGGACAGTTTTTTGATGTCGAAGTTCAAGGTGAACAAACCGAACGAGTTTCTTCAGCCTTGAGACAATTGGCTTGTGTTCGTGGACCAGGTGGTGTCAAGTTAAAAGAACCTGCGGTGGTTGAGCGTGGCTGCGCCTACGATGAATTTCTGCGGCAAGAGGAAGCCCCTAACGGTCGTCGGAAGGAGCGATGGGAAGCAGGACTCCCATGTGCCAGCTGTTTGGGCAGTTTGGGCAGTTTGGGCAGTTTGGGCAGTTTGGGCAGTTTGGGCAGTTTGGGCAGTTTGGGCAGTTTGGGCAGTATCAAAAACTGTTTGAACCATGTTTCGAGTCAGAACTCGGGAAACCCTTGCTCACCATTTGTTGTTTTTTGTGTTCCCATTTATTGGTTCTTGGATCTCTGTTCCAGTCTGCTCCTTGCAGCTGAGGGCAGAACCATGATTCTATAAATCTCCTTGGGAACATGGCATCAATGCACATGTGCTACTTTCCTTTCCCTTCTTATCCTCCTTTCTCATCACGAGAATTTAACGCCGCCATGTACCTTTTTCTTGAATAAAAGGGCATCCCATCACATCATTGAGTGACTGTCACTATTGCTGTTGCTAATTGTTTCCGGTAAGCCCTGTGGCGCAGTTTCATGCAGTTTCCAGGACCACGGGAGGCACCTGAACCACCGGAGAATGCTCCGTGTCGGGCCTGGCATGGTTATTGGATCTACTGCAACGGGCACTGTGAGGAATTGGACAACAGCCCCGTGTGGGACGACAGCGAAGAAGTTTGTGTCAAAACGGAGTCCATAGCACCTCTGTCCTCTGCGCAACTGGATCTGGTGCTCAAACGTTTGGGTCTCATGGCGGCAGTTGGGCCTGCAATCGAGTCATATCGATTAGAACTGCAAGCCGCACGTGAAGAGCGTGCTCAACCTAAGGCAGGTTGCTTTCTCAAATAAAGTCAGCTCCTTATGTCAAGCCAATTCTGAGAGATGTCCGTTCCGCTCCTCATTTCTATCCATGCCCAGTGGGAAAGTAATTGTGGTGTGCTTCTCACAGCCCTGCACTTGAGATCAAACTTGGCATAAAACACATACATTCTATTAAATCATTCTATTACATTTTTTAGTTTGTGTGTATTTGTGGGCAGGTAACTCATAGATTCTCAAAGATGCATTGACCTCATAACTCATAGCCGTGTTTTTTGTCCATCTCCGACAGGCGTCGTTCTGTGCAGTGCAGCCTCCGAAAGAGACGACGCTCCTTACGTGTGCTGAGTGCGGTGCTTCATTTACCATGCGTCGGACATTGGAGTCTCTTGCCGGAAAGGTTTATCAATGGTGTACTATTCCTCTGTCCTTCAAATATTTTAAATGAAATTGAGTTGCGCAAAGGCTTTGTTTAGCCATTAGTTCTTTTTGTTTTGTAGCCCTGCAGTGCCCTGCAGGCTACACAAGCGACAGCACCTGAATGCATTGAATGCACCGAGTTCTCTGAGCTCAAGCGGCATAGAAGTTCCTGCTTGGCGCTGGGATTCGATGAGCCAAGCTCGACAGGAGGCAGATTTCCTATCTGAATCTTTGCCCGAAAGAAACACAGCATTGACATCTGTGAATGATTTGGTGAATGATTTGGATGAGTTTCTCTCCCCAGAAGAAGCACAGTATTTGGTGCCCGAGACCTCTAAATACACCTTGGGCTCCCTGCTTGAACATGCTGTGCCCGTGTCGCGGAACCGCCGCAAGAAAGGGGCCCCCCGCGCAGCCACGTACCGGGCTTGCCCTGTCTGTGACGTGGAGTTTCCGGAATCGATCTTAGAACAACACGTGGAGGAATGTCTCACAAACAGCCAACCGCAGACTGCAGTGTCTGAAAAACTGGAGATCAATGGGACGGATATGACGGATGTTCTTCCTGAGGAGCTCCTGGAATCGTTGCTTCAAATGCAGCTACCGCCTGAAGCTTCCGATGTTTTTTGGAGCGCCTACGAATTTCATCGGGAACGACTTCAGGGAGTTCAAGAGGCCTTTTTGACCGCCTTGGAAGAAGCGCTCAGCTGGATCCCAGCAAAGGCCTCGGCTTCGGGATGCTATGGAGATCATGTAGCTTGGCACTGAAATCTTAGTCAATCAGTACTTCAGAGAGAGTCACAGGATTGAAACAATTGATAGACTGTGCCGATGTATAGACTCATGTTCAAACCAGACGGAGAAAGCTGTTGGATCTGTCATATAGAAATTATATAGATATATTATATAGATTTATATATTTAAGATATAGCATTTGCGTTTCTTTTTCTGGATTTCATGTCAGGATCTCCTTGAGCCGAAGTCTGACCTGGACTCACCGGCTTCGGATACACCAGGGCGTCCGAGCGCAGCGAGCGCAGCGAGCGCAGCGAGCGCAGTGGTGACGTGCCCTGTGTGCAACTTGGATTTTCCGCCCTCGACCATCGAAGAGCACGTGGATCAGTGCCTCGGAGCAGCTGCTTCCGCAGCTTCCGCAGCTTCCGCGGCGCCTGGCGAAGGCTACGAGTCCTACGAGGCCCTGCCCGAGGCGCGAACGAATCGCTGGGCGCGGCGAACGGGGCGAACGGAGGACGCCGAGGCGTTGGCGGTGAAGAAAGGCGTGGAGAAAGACGAGGGACCGCAGAAAGCGCAGCGAGTCCCGCCAAGCCCCGAACATCGCTGCGCCAATGTCTCAGATCCCCAAGAGAGTGCGCAGGACTGCGGTTGGTTCGTGATGAACATTTCGAGTCGTTGAGTATTGACCGGTATTGAAGAGCTGTTTGTTCCGATGACCCACCAGAAATCATCACAGGACAAAATCAACCGCCTGAAGCAAGAAGCCAAGGCCCAGCTTGACCCAGACTGCATTTTTTCAAGAAGCCATGTTTTCGTTGCAAACCTTTGCAAACTGCAAAGTCAGACAAGTGAGAAAACTCCTTGCACAACATGCATAACTGCATGACAAGCTGGAAGACACTTCAGAAGTCACATTTTGCACCGTGTCGTATCTCCTTATTCTCCTTTGCTAGGCGCGCAAGACCAAGACCGTCCGCTAGGCTGCGGTTTTCCAGCCTGCCAATGGCCTGCCAATGGCCTGCCAATGGCCTGCCAATGGTGAAATCGAAGATCTGGGAGCGTGGACAGAGCTGCCAGCTGAAAAAGCGTGACACTGGCAGAGCCTCGTTGGATGCGAAAGAATACCGTCAAGTCACTGGAGCACAATTTGATTTTGCCACAAGATTCTCTGAAATCAAGAAAACTTCCTCAGAATGAAGGCCATCCATATATTCTATGAATGCTGGGAAAGGTGGCTATCCAGATTACTGAAAAAAACATATCTATAGCAGTGGCTTAGCCGCAGGAGAGCAGCATTGGCGGAACTTTACCTGGTGAGGACTTGAGGTGCACTGACTTTGCCAGACTTTCTGCAGGACAGCCCCAAAGGACAAAAAACATCTAAAAAGCAACATATATCAAAATATCATGAGGACGCGCCCTCGGACTTGGACCGTGGAGATCTCCCTATGCTCACACTTCAGCAATGATTTTTGACCCGAGCTTCAGTTCTTGCAAGCTATGGCAGCTATGGGTGTTGTACCTCATTTTTTTCCCCTTTGATCCGCCAGAGGGTCGCTCAAACAGTGTGTTTCGAGGCCCACGAATATGGGCATTCGCTCCTACATCGGTCGACGATTGCATGCTGCCCTTGGCGAGGCCAACCGGACCCATGGCGTCGCTGAAACTTTCGGCCGAGATTTTTCCGAAAAAGTGTTGCGTTTTTCGTGGTTTGAAAACGTCGACATTTTTTTGACATTGGCTGTCCGGGTTAAACACGTGACGTGTTGACATGGGCATTTCAGAAGTTGGTGAGCGGCTCCAGGATTTGATGCTCCGATGCCGAAAGGGTAGGTCTAGACATGTCTAGACTTGACCGTGATGTTTATAGGCCCTCTACGAGTGCCAACGTTTCAAGTCCAAAGGCAACAAGGCTGCCGAGATGCTAAGAGTGTCAGAGATAGGAAGTTGAGGAACCAGTTGAGGAACCAGTTACCCACAATGATGCAGTAAAGTGCCCAGTTGAAGGATTCGCACAATTTCAAACCACCAATCTACACAGCTTTCTCTTGAAATAGCTAGCCCTCCAACATATTTGGACCTGAAAGGGGGTTTCCATCTGTTTCCACCATTTGCATGCTTTTTACCATCTCAAACTTGAGAACATTTGACACTGGAAGCAGTGGCAGAGTCTTTTCATGTCTTTTCTTTCGCAGAAGCTTTGCAGGCATTGGCAAGCCCTCAAGATGAGATTGCATTCATTGCAATGTACCCTTGGACGCTTCTGTTGCTGGACGCTTCATGTTGCTTTGTCGCATTGCTTGAACGATGCGACAAAAAGAGACCTTTGTTTAAGGTACTTGCGAAAAAAGATGGAAGAAGAGCAGGTACGCATGGCCTTGAAAGCTCTGACAGCTTTCCCTTCAAGTATTGAATCCTCAATTCTCTATTGTTGGCTGTGTGTTGCTCTTTGGTTGGCTTGAGTGGCAGGCGGAAGCCAGGGAGGAAGCGTGATCCGCTGACGGTTTAACCTGCTAAGCTGCGGTTGGATTTCAATCGAAATCCTTCCGCCATTTGTTTCACACCCTGAAATTGGGGCATGTTGCACTAGAGTGACACAGAACAACTGTGAAAAAAACTATTGGAATGATCACAGGGCCATTTATCTCAGAGCAAGAAGATTCTGGGACTTCCAGGCAAGTGATTCTGCATCATGAACATTCATGAACCATTTTGAAGATTTCACATGCCTTGATGTGTTATCATTGTTATCATGAACCATTTTGTTTTCAAACTTCACCTGGCACTTGCCGCGTCTTGCCGCCACTTTTCTCCTTGAAGGGGGGTTAGCGATCACAACCCGCAAACCCCTTGTCCGCGGAAACCTCGGAGCACCCCGTTGAAGAATGACTCAGTGACAGATTTGCCTGATATAATCTGATATACCATTAACAAAAACCATGATATACCGATATACCATCCATGAAGATGCTTTGTTGGATGCTTTGTTGGATGCTTTGTTGGATGCTTTGTTGATCGTTGACTTCCAAGCTGTTCTGAGGCTTAGTGCAGACAACGAATGACGGGAAGTGGTGAACTTGGAGATGAAACGGGAGATGACAGGAAGCTGCGGACTTCGCCTATGTCGTGCCGTGTCGTGCCGTGCCGTGCCGTGCCATGTTCAGGTTCAAAGCCCCCTTCAACGGTGGCGAACGGCCGGTATCAAATTGAGAAGAAGCTGGGTGCAGGTTCTGACCGAAGTTTGCATGAAGCAAATGTGAATATTTGACACAAGAGAACTCTGTTCCCGTTGTACTGTTCCATTCCTGTCAGTAAGAGCACCCCACTCTGTCAGTTTTGAGTGTTGAGGCTGCTTTGGAGAGGCTTTGGATGTGACACTTTGACAGTTTGCAGCAAAGCAAAGCACGTGTTTTCGTCTAGGCAAACACAACATAACACAACAAGTTGTGCAGGTGTGGCAGGGGCGAGACAAACAGACGAACGAGAAAGTTGCGGTAAAGTTCGAGGCCATAAACATCCATAAACATGATTAAACATGCAGATTTAGCGTGTAGAAGTGCTATCAATGCTATCTAAAAAGATCGCGAATTCCGCCAGGATTCATCGGGACATGCACTCCAACTGGAGCATGAACAGCATGTCCTGAAGTGCAGGTCTAAGTTATTCGATTTGTCACATGGGTTTTTCAGAAAGTTTTTGGCTTTGGATGGAACATGATGAAACCAATGGAGATTAATCAGGATTAATCAGCTGAACCCCCAATGGCTGTTTCAAGCACCCAAAATACACTGAGGATCTTGGCTCAGCCGAAGAAGCCTCAAGGCTTTGCAGAGCTCTTCTGGTGTGGCCAAGAGGTGCTTAGTCCCACAATGTGCGTGTGCGAAATGAAACTGAAAGTGACAGAAATTCTTGCAGAGTTTAGCAAAATCGCCAGGAAATGCCAGGAATATCCTTTGTTCAGTCTGTTCTGTAGAAAAAACACTGACGCGCCAGCAACGCTTCATGTGCCTCGTCATGGAGATGCTCGGAAAATCCTTGGAGGCGATGGGTGTCGTATGTCGTGGCCAGTTTCCTGTGACATTTCCGCTATGAAAAAGCCAAGTGAAAGCACATATTTTTGACTGCTTAAAAAGTAGGCTTTCCATCCGCTTTCCATCTTTCTCATATCTGTTGCGTGAATCCTTCATTTCTGTTTCCATCATTTTCCATCTGTTTCCTGTGCACTAACCGTTACAAGATCCTCAAGTCTTGTATAATTTGTGCTCGCACCGAAGCACGTCTTGTTGATGGCTGCCAGGACAGGCTCCAAGGTTTGGGATCATCACAAGGCGGACAGCCTAAGTTCAATGCACAGCCCGAGCCCCAAGGCAGATGCAAAAAATGCAGAGAAAACCAGGACACAACTGTAACAACTGAATTTATGGATATTTATGGATATTTAATGGATATTTAATATATTTTGATATATTTCAATATGAGATTTTTTGAATTTCTTCGACGTTGCAGATTCCTCAGATTCTACAGATTTTGCACAGCGTTGGCTCGGAGCGGCTCGGCGCCCTAGGACCGCCGTGCTCATTGCGGAGCAAGTGCTCAGGCGCATCGAATACCTTCATTCCAAGGCGGCCCTTGAAATCTGCGGATGTTCCGGCGTCGTTTGCGTTGAAAAAATGTTGAAATCTGCAGTGTATCAATGGGATCACTATGGGATCACTATGGGATCACTATGGGATCACTGAAGAAAGCCGGTTGAAGATCTTGAAGCCTTGCCATTGCTTGCAACAGGGCATTGTCCACAGGGACATCAAACCAGAGAATTTCATGTTTGGCATCAAGAGCAGAGTCTGGTGCTTGGCTTTGGCTATCTCGCGCCAGTGAACTATGCGACAATGTGATACAATGTGATACAATGTGTGTGTGTGTGTTCTGTGTTTGGAGTTCTTTCAATATGTGCAGCACAGCAATGCACAGCAGTCTCGTCATCCCAGATCCATCATTTGTACCTCATTGACTTTGGTCTTAGCAAGAAGTGCCCCTTGTGCATTGATCACTCACTGATCATCCCCCTTGGAATTTCCTCTACGAAATGGAGGGGGTTAACCCCCAGAAACGGAACCAAAATGATATAGGTTTTTTTTTTAGCTTTTTTGGAAGGGTTGGGTGAAACCATTTTGTAGTGCCCCAAAAAATTGATAAACCAATCTGTAGTGACTTGGTTTTTTAAAAGTGCCCATTCAGTTTTGGCCAAGAAATTTATAAACCAAACTGTAGACATTATCGGCCAGTTGAGGCTGGGTTCCAAGAAAATTATAAAGCCAATTTGTAGTGACTTTGTTTTCTCAAAGTGCCAAATGTTGATTTCCAAGAAAATTACAAAACCATTCTGTAGCCATTTTCAGTGCTCAGTGCTGATGTCCAAAATAATTATAGAACCAATCTGTAGTGACTTGGTTTTTTAAACGTGCCCATTCAGTTTTGGCCAAGAAATTTATAAAACCAAACTGTAGACATTATCGACCAGTTGAGGCTGGGTTGGTGCTGGTTTCCAAGAAAACTGAAAAACCAATTTGTAGTGACTTTGTGTTTTCAATTGTGATAAGTGCTGATTTCCAAGAAACTTTCAAAACCAATCTGTAATCATTTTCAGTGCTCAGAGCTGATTTCCAAGAAAATTACAGAACCAATTTGTAGTGACTTTATCTTTTCAGTTGATACGTGCTGATTTCCAAGAAACTTCAAAACTATTCTGTAATATTACTGGGGTGATCGTAGGGTTACCGATCCTTTTGGAATCTTTGCAGATGTTGGATATGTATGGATATGTTAGCACTGCACAACACTTCAGCCCAGCCGCGCGGACTGGTTTTCAGGAGCCATTTGGTTCTCACTCTGGGAGCCCAAAATGATCAAACGACGCTTGCCACTAGCATCATATGTATTCATATGACCTCGTATGTTGGAATATCTTGATTATTTTGGAATATGTTGGACGATGATAGATGATGATAGTGGATGATAGTTGATGATAGTGGATGATAGTGGATGATAGTGGATGATTGAGCATGATAGATGATGATAGTGGATGATAGTGGATGATAATGGATGATAGTGGTGGGAAGATGTGGGAAGGGGATTCTGGATGATTCATGATGATTCTGGAATCATCTTGAATCTACTTTTACAATATTTTACATACAGATTGGTACATATTTTTAATGATATATATATATATATTTATAGAATTATATAGACTTATCCTTACAGAATGGTTTTGTAGTTTTTTCCTGAAAACAACGAACAAACCTACAAAATGGTTTATAGTTTTTTTGAAAAAATGGCAATCCATAGTTTACAAAAAGGTTTAGTTTTACAAAATGGTTTTGTTTTTTTTTTTGGGGGGGACTTTCACAGATGGGTTTATGTGCTGAACAACTTTACAAAATGGTTCTGAAGTTTTTTTCAGAAAAATGAAAAAAATGTTTTTTTTCAAGGAATACTACTAAATGGTTTTATATTTTTTTTGGGGATTTGGCCAGAGATTGGGGTTGGCTTTACAAAATGGTTTTGGTACTTTTCAAAAAACAACGAATATCCCTACAAAATGGTTTATAGTTTTTTTTGGAAAATGTAAACTCATTGATTCAAAAATGATTGAGCCTTACAAAATGGTTTATAAAATTCTTGGAAATCTGAAGATATCTGAAGTTTTTTCTACAAAATGGTTTGTAAAATAATTGCTACACAATGGTTTTTAAATGTTTTTCATCAAAAAAAAATTAAAAACCATTTTGTAGGGAGTTTGAGGTTGGGTGCCTCTACGTTTTGGCTCCCCCAACCCAACCCCCCAAATTCCAAGGGGGATGACTGATCACTCTTTGAACTAAGCTCCACTCTTGTTACATTTGTCACCTGCCAGGTACTTTGATCAGAAGCATGTGCAACTTCGAACACAGCTGAGCCTTACTGGTACTGCTAGGCCGGGTTTCAGATGTTTCAGATGTTTCAGAAAACCCTGTTCAAGACTATATCAAGATCTGACAAAGACTATCTGACAAAGACTATCTGACATTTTTCTCTGGACTCAGCACCAGGTATGCCTCTATCAACGCACACAAAGGGATCGAGCAGAGCCGTCGCGATGACTTGGAGGCCATGACTGTCGTGGAAAACGGACAGAACGATGTGGACTTCGTCGCCTCAGATCCCTCTGAAAAATCCAAGACAGGTTTGAGGATATAACATGATATAACCTGATATAACCTGTAGGCCATTTATGGAATTTCAATGAATTTCATTTGGATCAAGTAATCTTGAACCATTTCATTTATCTTCAGACGCTTTTGAGGCCATTGGCCACATGCTGATGTACTTCCTTCGAGGATTGAAGGGGCAGAAACGATCCTTTTGCATCGCACGGCATCATTGATATCCTTGGTGTATCCTTGGTATATCCTTGGTATATCGTTGATATAGCCTTGATACAGCCTTGATATAGCTGATACAATCCGCAGAGTCGGCATGGGCAGCTGGGGCAGCTGGGCATCGACAGTTTCCAGCTGCCATAACTGGGCCACAGGATCTCTGCCATGGTCGGGCCTGGATGCAAAGACGCAGGAAGAGAAGTACAGGAGCCCTCGATGACTCGATGCCGATGCCCTCGATAAAACTGTGTCAGTGTGCCGTGCTGTGCTCATCTGGGGTCCAGCAGTTGGAGCACTGCAGTTGGAGCAGTTGCAGATTTCTTCATTTCTTGTGAAGGAAGATTCGCGAGAAAAAGGAATCAACTCCTCTGGATGAACTATGCGCAGGTGCCACATGTGCCAAAACATGTGCCAAATTCACCAGCCGAAAGTCGTGACATCCGAAGTGCCGAAGTCGGGTGTCGTTGTTGGTGTCGGAGGTCGTCCACCGGCCTTTAAAGACTACCTGCTAAGGGCCCGCTCTTTGGAGTTTAAGGCGGCTTGGTGGAAGCTTCCTATGATCTTTTGTATTCGTTTGTTATTTGCTTCAGAATGGATGATTTGGATGTTCATTGTTCATTCTATGGAAACTGGATGACAATTGTAGTTGAATTTTGAATCATCGGAGCCGAATTCTGCCACTCTGAAGTGTTTCAAGTGGTGTTGGTTTCCGAGTCAGCTGCTACCACGCTACCATTCCTGGCGCCAGGAGCGACCAGACTATATCGCCCTCAGGAAGCTGTTTGCAGATGTTCGTGCGGAGATAGGACCTCAACAGGTGCGCAACTCAGAGATCTCAGTGTTTTGGATCTATGTTGCTGGTTGGCTTCTAATCATGTGTCAGTGTCCAGATCTACCATCTGGTTATGACTAACATAGCGAACTGGAAAATCATGGAAAATCCATGAAATAAATGGAGCTTTTAATATGTTTTAATGGGAAAATCATCTGTAAATGGGCCAGGCTTCCATAGCTATGATAAATCACCAGAGGGTACCATTGTTGTGAAACTCTGTAACGTTTTTGTATGTTTCAATCTTGCCCAGGACCATGGCTTCCAGTTTTTGGAGGGCCGTGACTTGGGCTGCGACCTTAGTCACAGAAACGGGATGGAAATTCGGAAACTGCTTGTGCCCATTTTGTTATCCCTTGATATCCCTCGAATGGAAATGGCCAGGCACACTGGAGCCATTGGAGTTTATTGATGTCCGGCAACCAGATGATCAGGTGCAAAATGCTTTCGCAACTGATAGTTTTCTGGTTCTTTTGAGGGTTCAGTTCTTGAAATTTGAGCATTGACCTCAAAGGAGTCAGTGTACGGATTAGCGAAGAAGTATCACATCAGATTCATCAGATGTATATAGACAATATAGACATACTGCTGTGACATAGTGCATTTTTTGTCGTCGATTTTCTTTGGAGGCTCCAACAGGGGGGTTCTCTTTTTGCTTTTGCGGGAGCAAGTCTGGAACTCGAGAAGACTGACTTGAAAAGGCTTGTCGGGAGGATTGAGTGCATTTAATCATTTAATGCCACAACACGACCTCTTTGATGAACAGATGATGAGATGAGATGAGTCACTGTCGAACTGTTCCCTCCCGTAAGATCTCGCAGTGTGAGGTCAGCAGTTCGGGACTAGACAGTCCAAGTCTCAGTCAAGCTCAGCACGCACCAGAACTGGTACCGGAACGGTTGGTACCGTGCCAGGTGTGATCTTTCCAAACTGAAGTGACTAGAAGTGACTAGAAAGAGGGCAGCCTACAGTATCCGTTTCTTATGGTTTCTTTCTTCGATACCTCTGTTCCTATTGTTCCTTCAATGTAGGATATGTAGGTCACCAGAGTTACCAGGTTTTCTTTTCGGGAATGCAAGGCCGCAGTAATACAGTAATGCCTGGTGCACTTTTCACCTCGCATAGAGAGGACTACGCGTGAGCATGGTATGTCTTAGCTGCATCTTTTAAAACTTTGGCGATATTCCTCTGTTTGTTCTCTTAGAAAAAATCTTACCCATGTCATCCCATGTCAAGGGGAAGTTTCTCCAATATGTTAAACATGTTAAAGTAATACTAGCTACGAGATGTTTCAGATTCTGCAGGGAAGTTGCAACAGATGTTGCAACAGATACGTTGCATACGATACGTCCGATACGGCTAAGCCAAGACCTCACTTCCAAGTTTCACAGCCTTGGCATGCCGCAAGCAAATCCAAGCCGCCAAAGCGTGGACTTTGATGCAGCACCAAGATGTCAACTCGAGGAAAGCTTCAAGTTCAAGTTTCATTGATTTTTATTATTGATTTTTTATTGATATTTTCAATAATTTTCAATAATTTTCAAGATTTCATTGATATTCCACCATGATTTGATTTTCCGGAGATATCCTGTTGAGTTCCAACAGTGCGAGAGTTGCACTGAGCCCAGTGTCCTGCTCAAGCAGCACTTTTTGCAAGATCTAATTACGGCAAAAGCCGTACACGAGTCACGAGTCACGAGTCACGAGTCCTTTGGAGAGGCGCTGGTCTGAAAAAGTGGAATGGATGGAATGAATGGAATGAATGGAATGGATCACCAGATCATGCCGAATCATGCCGTGCGCCGCAGAAGTTTTGAATTGCTTTGACTGAAATCTGAAATCACTGTGAATTTCTACGCTGCAACCCGCTTGAAGTTCTTGAAGGCTCAAGCTTTCGACACACCTTTAGATTGTCTTCCTGAGTGTTTTCCATGTTTTCCTGGATTGGCACAGGCAAACATGCTTAGTTAGGCTTAGTTGCTTTGATGTCGTTGAAATTTAAACACCCACATTTTTGCGATTCTTCTTGGGCCGTTGATACTGGGGTATCACTAGTAATTATTCCCCATGTACTGTCCTCCAATAGCTGCGTTGGGCACAACAAAGAAAGGTCACACGATGATGCCATGGTGAATTTTTGTGCACGAAACACGGGGAAACATGGTGAAAAGGTGCACTTGAAATCTGGCAGCCTCTAACATTCTTTCCATTTCTTTCCTCCTGCTCTTTTGCCCTCAGAGGGTTTCATATTGTAGTTATCACACCCCCGGCACGGCCCCAAAAAGGGTTTCAATGGGCTGATTTAGTTTCTTCCGTCTGGAATGGAGTATGTTAGAATGTTAGAGTACCTAGATTATCCGAGATTGTTGTAGAGAATGGACGAGAATGGTAGATTGCTTGGTTGCTGAGAATGGCCATGTCCGTCGCTTGAATCATCCATGCACTGGACCATCCTATTGCTTGCGGCCTTGGCAGTGATGAACATCGTGGTTTCGGTGGCGTTCGCTCTGGACAAGTTGCAAGCCAAGAGAAATGGACAACGAATCCCACGTTGGCATTTGATCTGGCTCCTTTGTGTCGCACCTTTTCTGCCAACTTTTGTGATGGTTTGGCTACATCACAAAGTTCGAAAACGGCTCTTCATGATCACCAGCTGTTTAGCCGGAAGCCTTCAGACGACTGGCCTGCTGTGGTTCATGTTCCGCTGGCTGCCGGAACCCGGAAAGCACATTGAACAGACAACGGTCATAGTGGTCACTGTAGTCGTTTTGCTCGTCATCCTTTGGGCAACATCTCTGGGTATCCAACTGCGTCGCGGCTGTGCTTGTGAGCCATCAACTGTCCACGAAGCAAGGGCCCCACGCGTGGATCATGTATAATATGTATAGCGTACTGTATAGCTATAGATGAATCATTCTTCTAGATGCAGCTGCTAAGCAGCTCCCGAAATGCGAGGTCGAAAGTTTCAGCAAATGGACCAGAGATTCACCGGTGATACTTCCACATCTTCGATGGCCAGAAGGTGACCACAGCACTCTGCCCTCACTGGTTGCATCGGCCTAATAGGGCCTAGTTGTCACATGAAGTGAGCGGAACAAATGAACTTCGAGAGACATTTGCTACAGCTTAAATGGCTTAAATGCTACAAGTTGTCAAGTTGAACCAGCCTCAGAGTGAAGAAAAAAAAACTTTCAGGGAGGCTGCTTGCAGGAAGGCACGAAGGAGGTGTAAACCAGCCATCAATATACAAACGCATCAACGATTCAACACATGTTTGAGAATATGCGAAGCTCCTGTATGCATCTGTATCCAATATCGGACCAATGTATCAACGATTTTACTTGCTGCTGGCTGGCATTTCTGAAAAAATCAGATACGGAAAATGAAGTCTTGAATCGACTCAGCTTAACCTTTCACAAGTTTAGGCATCGTGCAGAGGCTTTCACTTGATGCGACTGCTCAGAGGCTCAAGCAGAGCTGGAGCCGATGCAAAAATCACATGTTTGGTGTTGAAACGAACTTGGCACATGCAGGATGCAGGTATCAAGTGTCCAATTGCATCGCTACTATTTTGACGAGGAATCAGGGTGCTTTCGACATCCCTTGCCACTTTTATTTTTGGAGTTCTGCAATGTCGGGAGCAGCCACACTTTTGCAATCTTTTGCACAAAGAATTTCACTGCCGATTCCATGGATGGATTTCCCATTCCAAAGTCCATCGGACTGGCGCGAGGCTCTGAACACGACACACTTGCGACATGTAGCAGTGCTCTCTTTGAAGCGATCCAGAGAGGCATAAGTTAATAAGTTGGCATAAGATACATGAAGCCATCATGAAGCTACAAAAAGAGCTAACCAGCGACATGGACGAAGCCGGAGGCAATTGAAGACAAAGCAACCCGACTGGAAAGCTACCTGAAAGCTTTCCCTGATTGGGGGAGCTGTCCAGTCACTTGGACGCATCGTTGGGATGCAACAAACATCTCCATTTGGCACAGACGATTCATCTTTCATCAACTGTCATCATCTTTCATCATCTTTCCATCTCCAGGTATGTGAGAAAGCGTATCCAGATTCACTGGGTCCTCACATCGCTGGCAAAGAGCACTTCAGAAAACTCTGGTGGAAGATCCACGAAGCTCCCAAACAGGCTGCGAACTCAGCGTGCGTCGGAATGCGTCGGATTTTCCAAGGGATGCAGTGCTTGCTGTCAGGAGTGGAGAAATTCCAGCGGCAAAGTGATCACCTTTGATCATCTAACTGGCGAAATCGGTTTCGTCGCAGCCCCAGAGTCAGATTCAGAAGCTGCTTTCGTGGGAATCCCTTTGGATCCGGCATCGTCTGTGGGGTTTTTGATTCGTTGATGTGAGGGCGATGATCGACCGGCTGGATCTTATGCAGCTCCACCTGAAGCTTCTCCTTATCCCAGCTATCCCAGCTATCCCAGCTATCCCAGCTATCCGAGTGCCGAAGTTGCTGAAGTTGCACCGCTAGCGCTTCCGGAGCGGGTGCCAGAGCGTGTCTCAGCACCGTTCTTGGAGAGAGAGGACATGCTGCTTTTCAACTTTCAGAACTTTCATCTTTTGGTTCTTGAAAGGCTCCAGAGTCACAGAATTGGACACATTTCGTGCTGCACCGGCTGCAGCCTGTTTCGATTTGTTGATTTCCTTGGAGGAGGATCTGCGACCATCCAAGCAGCGGCTTGATGAGTTGTGGGAGCAAGGGAAACTCTACTGCGATGCTTGTGGACGAATCCGGCCAAGGGAGGCCACTTGGATGCACACCAAATATCCAGCATACCGCAAAATGGCAGCAATTTAGAGAATGGTGATGAACCAAGGCTAATCTTATATCTCAACCTCTAAATGATACAGAAATTGTATCGCATCACAAAAAGCTGGTTTGGATCTGTGGTCGCTCTGCGCCTTTGATCGACATAATGCCTCATCATCCATGGCAGATAGAGAACGTCATGCATAAACCCCGGAACAAACAGCAAGCTGCATCCTGTTTTTGCGAGAACAAAGCGAGAGCCAAAGACTGTCAGAAGGAACGGGGCGCAAAACCGTTGTGGAGGGAACTTCAAGCATGAACTGCCAATAAATTGAACATGTGTTCCTTTCAGACGTTCAAGAACACTTTATAGTGTCTTTGGCTGATCCCTGGCTTGGCTGCCATGCCATGCAAGGTATTTCACAAGCCGCAGCAGAAATGGAGTGCCTCGACTTAGTTTCGTCCAAAGATGGCGCTGAAGGTTTGATCGAGTGATTTCCAACCAATCAGAATCTAATCAGTATCCAATCACTTTGGTTTTCCCAGTTTTCCCTTTGTGCACTTTGGCATTGACATCATTGAATCATTGACTGGTTGTGGTTTCGAGTTTGCTCCACGGAAGCATCGTTTCACTCCCAGGCCTGGCAACCAGAAGATGCATCGAGTGCACCGAGCGGGCCAACTACGAATCCAGCTTTTTGCAATGCGCCAGATGTCGGAAGAGCCCCTTGGCAGGTGAGCCAGGGGAGCTAGGGGAGCCAGGGGAGCCTGCGATCTTTGTGGCTTTGGTGCATCCGGATGTTCATTGCAACATAGCTGTGGAATGCTGTGGATACCAAGGCCTTTTGCGTTGCTTGGTAGCAACATGTAGCAACCATTTTCAGTTTATTCGAAGATCGAGGGCGAGAAGAGAACAAAAATGATGAGTAACATGAGCCCAGCATGAAAGGTGAGGAGTTCGCCAAAAGTGTCCGCAGCAGCAATGAGCCGATCTGTTCCTTGGCAGGAACACAGAGCGAGAGAAAGGGGTTAGCAAGTCTCAAGATGTCTCAAGATGTCTCAAGATGTCTCAAGTACTTCTGAGTTGGAATCTTTTTGGTCTATCAACAAGGGATGTCCCTGGCATGTGTATCACCTTGTTGAACCTCTTCAATTGTTTTAAGTTGCTGTCCAAACCTGACAGGCAGAGCCTGCAAAGTAGAGCTGGATATCGAGTCGAGCAAGTTGATCTGCCGCATTTGCGAGCAATCGCTGAACCGCTCCGACTTTCGAAAGAAAGTGGAATGGGATGCTCCAAAATGTGCCGCTTGCTTGTGCAACTTGGCGCAAGAATCGCAAGACATGCTTTGCACATGCTTTGCACATGCTTTGCACATGCAAATTGTGCCAGTGCAAAGCTTCGCAGCTTCGCAGCTTCGCAGCTTCGCACTCAATCTGGTTTCAAGTTTCGGTTTTTTACAAGGCCAGAAGGAAAAGAAGGCCTACGAGCAATTTCTCAGGGAAAGAGAAGAAGAGGCCAGGACTCCGCTGGACTCCGCTGGACTCCGCTGGACTCCGCTGGACTCCGCTGAGTTTAGAGATCCATTATGGATTTCCATTGGCAAATTGGTCACGAAGCTCTCCATTAGAACAAGCAGGCTGCGAGACAAGCCGAACTGCGAGAAGAAATGGCTGAAGAGCAACTGAGACTTGCCATGCAATGCATATGCAATGCATATGCAATGCATATGCAATGCATCATGATGGTGACGCATCGCAATTTGTGGACATGATACTGCTCGAATTATTTGATGATATTTTGATATCACTACTTGGAACAGTTGTGAGATTGTGTGGAAGACATGAGAGCGTGCAAGTTTTTTGTAATGATTTGCTCAAATTGGAAGAGCCTCAGGAGAGAGAACTTTCAGCAGCGTTCCTTAGCAGAAGTTCAAGTTTGTGTCTCTTCTTTTTGCCTGGCTGCCGACCATTTTCGTCTCGAATGTGGCATGTTTGTCGGAGAGTTCGACAGACCAAACCTGTTGAAACCAGTTTGAAACCACTCCGCATTTCAGGAATTTTGGATCGCATGTCCCGCGTGAGACTCCCAGCCTACCAGATCTTCCAAGAGGAGAGGACAGGTCCTCAGAAATTGGACGCTGAACGAATTGGAGGATAAGGGTGACATGGTGACATTTCAATGAGGAAAAGCTGGGCCAAACGCCTCATGCAGAACATCCTCAGTTTGGAGGAACCTTGGAGTTGAGTGATCTGAGTGATCTGAGTGATCTATCGTCTCAACAGTCCGATGTTTGGCAAAGAGACTATCGGCACAGCAAGGGGATGTGGCGTTGGTTCTGTGAACCCACGGGAATTGAGGAGCTGAGTGATCAGTGGAGTCGGATTCTCAGGATGAAGTTTCAAGTTGAAGGAACATTCAGTCATATTCAGTCATATTCAGTCATATTCAGTCCTGATGCGAAGCAGTTTTTCATCATTTTGAATGTTTTGGCATGTTTTGGCCACAGGAACGGAGACCCCGTCTCGGGATCATGCTTCAGACCGAGAAGAGGCAGAGAGGTTCAAAACGCTCGAAGACCTGGGTGATCGACTTTTCAAGGGTGGCTCGATCTGCACATGACTTTGATCCTCAAAACTGTTCCTAGCTGAACTAATCTTCAAGGATATCTTCAAAGATGTCGGATATCTTCACTTTGTTTGGTTGTTGCATGTTGATGCTATTCGCAGCTCAACTGGTGCACTTGTTGTTGACATTGTTGACAGGAATCAAGGTTCGTGAAGTCAGACTCAGCTAAAGCTCTTCATTTCAGCATTTTCAGGTTTTCTTGGATGTTGAACAAACCATGCAACAAATTGAAGCACTTGACCATTTCAACGGCCTTGGACTGAAACTGCTGGCATATGTTTTCATAGCTAGATATAGCATGATCGAAGGAAGTTTAGAAGTCAAACTTCCGACAATATGGACAGATGAAAAGCAGAGCAGGGCAGAGGCAGAGAGAAGAGGAAGATTAGAAGAGAGAAGATCAGAAGAGAAAGAGTAAGAGGACAGAAGATACAGATGCGCGAAAAGGTAGGAAAGTCGCGAAACACTGTGTTTTTCCAATGATGTGTGGCTCCGGAGAGTCGAAAAGTAGGCTCGCTAAAGCGGCGGGTGCGGAGCTAGCTGGCCAGATGAGAGATGAAAAATTGCACGCCGTTGTGGCGCGAAGCACATTTCCAAGTCAAAATGTACAAAACACCTCAGCGTCGGACCACTTTTGGAAGTTGCGATGTCGAAAAAGTGCACGCCGTTGTGGCGCGAAGCACATTTCCAAGTCAAAATGTACAAAACACCTCAGTGTCGGACCACTTTTGGAAGTTGCGATGTCGAAAAAGTGCACGCCGTTGTGGCGCGAAGCACATTTCCAAGTCAAAAGTGTTAAAAACTGACGGTCTCGGACCACTTTTGGAGGTTCAGATGTCGAAAAAGTGTCGAAAAAGTGCACGCCGTTGTGGCGCGAAGCACATTTGGAAGTCAAAAGTGTAAAAAACTGAGGGTTTTGCACCTTTTTTGACGTGCTGATGTCGAAAAAGTAGACACTGATTAACTTAACTAACTTGACTAACTTAAGGAACTTCACTAGCTTAACTACCCTAACTTCGACGACAACAGCAACAACAACAACAACAACTACTACTACTACTACTACTACTACTACTACAACTACAACTACAACTACAACTACACAACTACACTACAACTAGAACTACAACTACAACAACTACAGCTACAACAACAACAACAACAGCAACAACAACAATGTAACAACAACAACTACAACTACAACTACAACTACAACTACAACTACAACTACAATAGATCGATAGATGGAGAGATAGATAGATAGATAGATAGACAGACAGATAAATAGATAGATAGAGAGAGAGAGATAGATAGATAGCTAGATAGATAGATAGATAGAGAGAGAGAGATAGATAGATAGATAGCTAGATAGATAGATAGACAGACAGATAAATAGATAGATAGATAGAGAGAGAGATAGATAGATAGATAGATAGATAGATAGACAGATCGATAGATAGATAGGTACATAGATACATAGATACATAGATAGATAGTCAGAGAAAGAGAGAGAAAGAGAGGTGACCTCAAGCACCTTTCGGTCCATCAGTGGCTTCGCTCTGCCATCCCTGATTCACAACCACCAACCTCTCCTATAGGTTTCCTATTTTTGAAACTTCCGCCACCGCCTTGTGCGGTACTACTGGTATAGCTATGTTTTTCTGGCTACAGATTGGTGTAAGGTCTGTAAGGTGGTGATTCAAACAAATCAAACAAGGAGCAAGGTTTGTTTGGTGATGAATTTGTTTTTCCTTCATCCATCTGATCCATCTTCATCCCAAACCTTGAATGTCCAGTACCGAGATCTTGCATACTCCTTCTTTGAAGAGTTTGTCATGCAAGAGGACAGCGCGTGAAGATGTTTAACACATTCTTTTTTAATCACACAGTAAACTCAGTAAATCTGCACTTGATCATGATGTTGTCTTCGTGTCATCCCTTGATGTCCGTGTCACTTTCATGTTCAGAAAGCTGAACCAGGAGGAGGAAATCATGACGTCCAGTGCTTTGGCGCGACGTGCAGAGTGCAGACACCATTCGCTGTTTCTTAGAGGCAGACCAGAGCAATAGTTTCACAGCGCAAAGAGATTTCCAAAGGATGCCTTGTAAAATTGTAAGAAGAGGCCACTCGAAACAGTGCTTCTTAGAGATCTATGACTACAGGGCAGACAATTGTTCAATTCTCCCTTGTTCTTGCCCAACATGTGTTCAGAAAACTAGGACGAACTGAAAAGGTCTTAAATGCGATATTGCCCTTGTCTCAGAACAAACACCTGAACGTTTCAATTGTAATTAATGGGTAGTAACGGATAGTAATGGGGTATCTCAAGGACTCAGAAATTCGAGGCGCTTAAGCACAGGGTGCTATGCCAGCCATGCCAGGTCGGGTGGTTGCATGCATCAAAGCTGTGGGAGGCAATGCAGTGCTTGTGGCTGGGATGGCACGATATGGCACGATATGACACGTATGCAGTCAGGCCGTTGACAGGTTATGCAGATCGCCCCAAGGCAAGAGCCCCACTGCTGGATGTCAAGTACCATACGGGATGGAAGCAGATTTCGGCCAATGAGTCTCTTGGCGCATTTTTCGAGCGGTGCTGCAAGGAGTCTCTCACACTGCTAGGCTTTACGTGCTTCAGTCGCTGGATATGGAGCTCAAGGTGCGGTGATATCAGCTACAAGTGTTACAGGTTTGCAGCTTTGCTTGAAACTACTTGAAACTATTTGAAATCGTTCATGACAAGCCTGTAGTCAGTGGAGAAGATATGAGAAGATGAGGTGTATTTTATTGTTTTTCCATGTTTTTCCCTTAATGCTTGGATTGAGTTTTCGGAAGTTTGGTGTTGACAAGCTCTGAGATGCTGCCGAGCATCACTTTGAGTCAAATCAAAGACAGAGATTCGTGCCAAGAATCATTCTGTACAACCCCTCTCAATTTCCCAGCTCAAACTTTTTCAGATGAAAGGCATGCGTTTTGAGTGCAAAGTAGTTTGGGGAGCCCCATCACAATGTTGGACTCGCTACAATTCTAGAAGACGCTTATGGAAGTGCGGTTCAGTGTGGTATATATATATACACATATATATATTTGTAGATACATGATTTTACAATTTCAAAGGGTAGTTGATCAGCAATCAGCTAAAAGAATGCCACGGAACAGGAGCGAGAACTGTCGTCATTTTGTCTGTTGGTTTGATGATTTTGATGTGCGGTGAGAGACCTCGAGACCTCGATAGGTGAAAACCTATCCAGAAGAGATCTGGAAAGATGTGAAGGACGGAGCCCTGGGTGGACTTTGTTGGACTTGGCAAAGGACAGATCCTGAGCCCCTCACCTGTTCGAAGGACGATTTGTTCGAAGATGACGACAGAGGCTCCCACAACAAGATCCTGTCAAGGCTCCTCAGCGCCTTGGCGCCTAAAAAGTGGATTCAAAAACAGTAAGGCGAAAGATCTTTGGATATCCCAACACTATATATATATCATTATATATCATTATATCCCCATCCCTAATATGATCCCAATGTATTCCAACATATCCCATTGATATCCCATTTCTCATGTTCGAGGTATGGCCGGTGGTACCTCAGAGGGCTCCAACCGAACGGAGACCTTGAACTTCTGCGCCGAGACCCGGCCGGAAATAGAGAAATCGGTG